TCGTATCTTTTGCTGATTTACAAAATTATTCACCCGATTCTTGTTAAAGCACTCGTCTTAATGGGTTTTTGGTCTTATATTACTATTAAAAATATTTTTGTCTCTCCATGCCGTAACTGTATTTAAGATAGATATACAAAATTAAATAACGTTTTTTTCGCGCTCTAATGATGTTCGAGTTTCATGCCTTAAAATTTCCGTAATTTTGTGAGCACGAAGAATCCGTAATAATATAGGGATGGTCGATTGGCTTCTTTCGGGATACAAGCCACAATGTGCGAATTTTGACTTTTAGCCTGAACTCGCCCAAATTTAATTAAATATGAGTGGAAACTAATTTCAAAATTATTTTAAACTAGAATTTTACAATATTATACGACGAAACAATCACCAAATTCAAGGAAAAATTAAATAAACAAAGGTTAGCATTTATTGCTATTATTACATACATAATAATCATGTATGTAAAGATACATTTTTAAACATTCAGGTTCTCCAATAGCTATGCCACTTTTGTCGGCCTCAATTTCAGGCAATCTCACTCCATACGAACAATGCGATGGTGTGAGGTGTATCCCTCCGATTTCACTGAAATTTTAAAATTATGCGGTCCAAGTCAAGACCACCAACGTTAATTTAGGCAGGTTGTTGGAAGACCGGAACTTCTCATCGTTGAAATCGTCAAGATGTCTTAGTTTATTTTATCTGAACTACTCATAATTAGAGATAATCTGACCACTGGAGGTAGGGCATTAAAAGCTAATTGCTGACCACGACATATGTAATTTACGAGAAGATTCTCATTTTCCGCCAAACATACCACAAAGCTAATTGTTATGACAATGAAATAAAGGCTTAATATCGGCATTACTACAGACATTGATATGGGGTAATCCTCTTGAAATTTGCTACCACCTTTGTTAGTGAGCAAGTATTGAACAACTTGCGTCTTTGCGGGAGACACTGATGAATATGTTTTCCAGGCTTGTGCGTCATAGTACATAGTGTTCCACATTTGGGATAAACCGGCTTCTTTCAAGCGTTCCCACTCCTCAATGATATAAGGAGACAGCATTGTTTTTCGTCCAACTTGCAACGCTACCATGCTGAAATATGTATCTCCCTTATTTCCTGCCACGCTGACGTTTGAAGATAGACGGCCAAACCCAATAATATATTTTACATATTCTTTGAAGAAGAATAACACCATTTTGTAACCTTTCGGAGCTTTGGTTTCACCTATGTTGTACAAATTTGCACAACCTACTTTGCAAAGCTTTGATTGAAGCTTAGTTAAGAATCTAACAAGTTTTATGTTGTGGTTACTAGAAGCAATTAATTTCGGGATAAGATAATCAGAAAGAATATTTTCTCTTTTTCCCGTAATGCCTAGGCGAATATTATATGGTGCAATAATTGGAATGTCCCAATTGACGAGGTCATCCACACTTTTTGGAGTCTTTTCCGGAAATAGAACCAGAAGACATGAATATATCGAGCCTTGATAATAATTTATCATTAGAAAAAAGTTCCCGAATAGCCATAAAGTAAGGAGAACGATGTTTGCTTTTCTAGTTCGGTACGGTCTTCCATTGCTTTCTTCAGATTGACCAAGTAATACGCAGATGGTTGTGATTAGTCTGCTCGCCGTCATAGAAACAAATGAGTACAAACCTCCGTCCTTATACGCCACTAGGGTGAGGCTTCCCGCAACTGAGATAACACTGGCCATGAGACAACTCCAAGTGTACAGGTCGAAAGGGGCAACGAATGTGGCTACTCCGCTGGCAGGGTAGGGTGCATTTGTAACGGTGATAAAATTGTACGGGCTGTGGATTAGTTCGTAAAGGAAAGCCTGATTGTTAGGCGTATCAAAATTAGCAGCCAGGACGATCCCAAAATCTGTGTCAGTATCAAGCTGGCCCTTGTCTTCTATTAAAGTTAAGTTGTGCCTCTCCGCAATTGTGGCTATGGTGCAGTAGTTGAGTTCTTTCACAGTAATAAAGGCATCATACCTTATTCCACATTTTATATCTACAGGTGTCAAGACAAAGGCAACGTATTTGTTTGAATTCCTATTCAAATACTTCCATGCTATCCGGATATTTGATAGCGAGTAGTAGGCCAGCGGTGTAGTGCGTAAGGGACTCCAAGTCAGCCATGGAATTTCGATACTACTGTCATCGAAAGCAACCATCATTGACGTCCCAATCTGTCGAGGTGCAACGTAGAAACAATCATAAGTCTGCGAAAAGCGACCAAAAACATAATCTTGGGCTAGGTTGTCTTTCAAAAATATAAACAAAGCCTGGCACTTGCCCATAGCAAATCTTTCATTGGTCCAATCAAACCGAACAAATGCGGCCTTTGGTCGGGCTGATTTCTCAATCTCGCGATATCGAAAAGCTTTCAAGGGATTGGTGGAGTATTCATAGCTCACTTCCATCCAGTCGTGACAAAGGAACGCGACACGTAATGGTGTGTACGTATTGGAAGCAGTTACATCCCCAAAGTCTGGCATAGCGATGTCAAATTCTTTTATTGAAGTCATCCTCCAGGGTGTGAAGAAGTGTTTCTTGCACATCGGACTGAATATGAAGGTGAGATCGGCATCAAGAAAAAGACCACTCCATCGGTTGGAGCAGTGGGATAAAGTAGCTAGGATGGTGATAAATAAGAAGATCCAAGAAATTGACGACATAATACTCGTTAAACAAAGTAGGATTTGAGGAAATTGAGTTAAGCGAAGGAATGTTTCAAGTGAGTTTTTGTTTCCAATTAAATATATTCGGAGAATATTCGGAGGATTTTATATTTATGATTTAAAACAACAAATATCTAATTGACATGGCACCAGGATGCTAGATGGATACGACCGCAGTCGTACGTAAAGAAGAAAACCAACACAGTCGACTGAATTGGTTTTCTTCTTTATAAAATAAAGCTTGCGACCAACGATAAGAAATGGTTGCCAAGTGACGCACTCCGTTTGAAATTCAGTGACTGAATTTCAGTGTGCTGTTGTACCGTAAGGTGTATTTGAACTTAATTACTTACCCTTCGCATGTGTCTTACATTTGGTAATTGAAAAAAATGTCGTAACCACGCAAGATTTTTATTTGGTTAAACAGTGTATATTGTCATCTGTATTAATTAGCCTAATATGTACTCTCCGTTCCATATAGCAAGCAAGTTGGCTAAATGACTTTGTGTACCGCACAAAAAATGGGGCTGGTCATTTAAGTTTTTCTCACCACCGCGAGCCATACGGCATCAATTTACCCCACGTCAGACAGCCTGAAAACAACTTTGTGCTGCACAAAACTAATGTAGCCAACTCTCTTGCTATATGGAACGGAGAGTACGTATATAATTACTTAGAGATGGAGTGCTTGTTTAAGGCTTTGCGTGCCAACTGATAAAAATAATCACGCACGGGTGCCACTCTACTGTATTGACCCCGTGACACACACAGATAAGCTTCTGGTTATGGAAATAATCAAATTTTGCCTAAAATACATAAAATACATTGCCTTAAATAATGCGTCTGATCAGGAACCTAATACAGGAACTATGAAATGAAAATATTTCGGTTGTGTTGCTAATTTATTTGATGCTTATCTTTTCAACCCATAGGTGCGCAGCTTCCGGACGTCGGAAGCGGCGATTTTTGATCGGAAGCGGAAGTACTGGTAGCTGGAAGCACAATTTTTGGTCGAAAGCGGACGAACTGGAAGCTGGAAGCACAATTTTTGGTCGGATGCGGAAGTACTGGAAGCTGGAAGCACAAATTTTTGGTTGGAAGCTGCGCACCTATGTTTCAACCTACTCAATGCAGGCTAGTTTGCAAATTCAAAATGATAATGAAGAGGGGGAAAATGGCCAAATGGCTGTCCTTCTCTGTGGTAATCATAACGGCAGCTCTCTAATCTGGTATGTTTCTTCTAAATACGTACCCCTTTTCTGTAACACTGCATAACATCGCTAGTTCATTTAATTCTAGTTTGATCCTTAATTTTGCTGACAAGGAAAACGCACGACCTGTCATTTCAATAGACACCCCACATGACAAAAGTCATTTTCGACATTCGACACCACCCACACGTCATGGAATTATCGCACAATTTCTTGAATCCCCGTCCCAAACTAGGACTAAAACGGTTGAAACAAAAATTCCACATGTTCGACCGTTGGTGTCATTACTATCATTACAGCAGTGACCTTGTAACCTACAACCTGCATCCTGGAACTCATCCGTACTTCACAAATAAGAAACACATTGTCGAAAACGGCATGTCGAAATTTGTATCCGTTCTAAAATTAATGTGGACATGGACAAACAGACAGACCGACAGACAAACAAGACATTTCCATAAATGCGTTTCCACCCATTAATGAGTCAATTAATTATTCTCTAAATTAAATTATTGTTACGCTTAAATTATTATATTTTTATTTAACTTCCTATTGTTTATAAAGCTAAATACAGGAATCTTCCAGTCAATTTAAGTATTTAGAAATATCAATTTCTCTTGATGGCCCAACAAATAAGCTACTGAAAAGATAAATGTGTTAACGTGCAGATAAGGAATTTTTCCGACATACGTTTTAAAAACAGATAAGAATTAAGGTATTCCCAGAATACATATCATTCAGTGACTACCAGGACCACAAATTCCATTAAATTATTTATGCGAAGCTACGCCGCAACTGTATTTTTTAGTCAATCAGTCAATTCAGTCCGACGCTTGGTGATGATTAATAGTTAGCTCGACAATTGTGACCAAAGTCAAACGCAATCAATCACTTTTTAACAATACCGACAGACACTTTGGATTAAATTTCCAACGATATTTGTTAATCGAGCAGGATATTTCGCAAAGGGGATAGAATGTCAATTACATAGGTGAACTGAACAATCAAAGTTGTCAATGCGTAGTTCACCCAGCCAGTGGCTTGGATTTCACCCAGGAGAACAGATATTTCGTTTACGGAGAAATATGAAGGCACAGATAATTATTGCTGTCTTTTTGGGAGCGTCGTTGGCAGCGATAAACGAGGAAGGGCAACCTGCCAAACGTCTGATTAAGTGGGGCGAATCCGATGAAGGATCTTGGCTCGGCGAAGAAGAAATTTTTACACTGATTAAAAGCGGAATACATTTTGTGGATGTGACGACAAGTAAATTTCCAGGTGGGATAAACCGGACAACAATTGGTGAGCATGGTACGGGAGGGGTCTTTTTTAAGGGGTGCAAATTTTAGAGAAAAATATACTATATTTATTGAATAATATTTTCAGTTATTCCGGGAAACCTGCGATTTGAGGATGTTGTACTAACAGCGATAGGAAATATCGATATTGACAGAATGACGACATTTGTCGACCGCTTAGACAACTTTCCTAATCGGTATTACAACAATCAGAATGGAGTGGATGCGGCGGATTGGGTGGAAAGAACCGTGAAGGTTGCGATAATTAATCCCGGGTATGAGGGACGAGTCACAGTAACGAAGTTTAATCACAGCTGGGCACAGCACAGTATCATTGCTAGGATCGAAGGTAAAGTATTCTGAAGGAATCGGGGTATTGTAGGAAATTATGACGCGCTATTTTGAATTATTTAAATTTCACGGTCAAAAAAACAAGAGTACGAATGAATAAAAGGGTATTTTATGCAGGAAAATTCGATCATTTTTTGCAGCCTGAAATTCAATTTGTGCTTTGTATATTTACAGTTTACTTAATTTTTTGAATATCCCGGTTAAAATATTGAAACTCACGAGCGAATAAAAATGTCCTGCTGCAGGTTCCGATCCCATTTTGAAGGACGAGTTTGTAGTTTTTGGAGCTCACTTTGACTCGATAAACAAAGACGATCCGGTAAACGGAATAGCGCCTGGAGCAAATGACAATGCGAGCGGGAGTGTGACTTTATTTGAATCTTTAAGAGTGTTAATAGAGACAGGATTCGTGCCAAAGAGGTCCATCGAGTTTCAGTGGTATGCCGCGGAGGAGGTCGGACTGCGGGGATCGGGCGATATCGCGGAGACTTATTACAACCAGGGCGTAAAGGTAGGTAAATGATTTACAATAATGTAGTATCCGTTTAGGATGTAAGCATTACCGAATTTTTACGCGGGCTATCCGTATAAGGATCAACCAATCAATAATTTTACAAAAACACTATTATATTTCGTTGTCCGAGCAATTTTCTAATAATTTTGGTATAATTTTCTATCATTTTTTGCGCAGATTGTCGCAATGGTGAATTACGACGAGGTTGGGTTTCGCTCAGGCCCCAACCAGTTCGGACTTTTGACGGACTATACGTCCCCCATTTTAACGGCCTTACTTCGCCTCGTAATCGAAAAGTACTGCTCAATATTATGGATCAACCATTTTTGCGGGTATGCCTGTTCGGATCATGCCTCGTTCACCCGCCACGGTTACGCCACTGCTTGTGCGTCCTCATACCCATTGAGTCCAGATATTCACACTCCGGCAGATACAGCTGATAAAATGAGCTTTGAGCAAGTCGCCGAATTTGTGAAGCTAACCGTTGGCGTGGCGATAGAAATTGGCGAAATTATGGAGTAGGCTTAATTTTTACTAGATGCATGTAGCTTTATATTGCAGAAATTTTAGGATCAAATGTTGGTTAATAAATTCGTTAAGGGTCATTTTAGTGTCCCTAAAAACTACCATTTCTGGGATCTATGCTGCCCACGTGTCGAATAATTAGGGCGATTTTGCCAAGGTGGGAAACTCGAATCCTACTGCCTATAATTGATGCCATCATGTTTACAAGTCTGCGTGTCTGCGGCTTTCTACGTGACACATGTCTTAACGGGAGCAGTCGTCCATTTGTGGAACTATGTTACAATTTTGAACACGTTGTCAAAAACTGGAGCCAATTCGCCCCAAAAATTGGTCATGTTGTACAAACAACTACAAAATTTGAGCATTCTAAGTAATTAGTGTAATCAGAAACAGATACATATTTCCCGCGGCTGCACTTGGTCTCGCGAGCATTGAGTATTTCCCGTTTTTCGTCTGTGTTAAACCACACAATTCCTTGTGAAGTTGAACCGGGGTTTTCGTCCTTATGTCGTCGCCTTGAATATGATGGTGTTTTTGGCGGCGTCAAAAGTTTTCAGCTGTTTCGAAGCAACTCGTACACAGGTGGGAAACGGAGTGGAAATCGGAGAGAAAGTCGGTACTGCGAAAGACTTTGGTGGCCTTGGAACAATTAAAGATTCGTTTCAACCTGAACCTTGTAGAGAATAAGGCTCCCCTCGTTTTTCAAGATGTTTGCAGCAGACAAACGATTGGATCCAGGGTACGCGACACCGGGTTTTTGGGGTATTGCGGGTTTTGGTGGGTTATGGGTAGCAAATTTGAGCAATACCCACGGGTAGTCGGGGTAGTTGGGGTAGTCGGGGTTTTCAAATTTAATTAAGTGCAAAAGATATGACAACAGGAAAGCTATTCAAATTGAATTAATAAGCTGGTTTGTTGCGAAACCAATAAAAAATCAAATGGTTTTTCATAACTTAGAAATCCTGAGTAGATGGGATACTGGCTCAGTTTACCCCGAAAACCCCGACTACCCGCAAAACCTAGGTAAAACCCCGGGGTATGGGTTTTCAATAGCAAAACCCGTGGGTTTTCCTTACCCTGATTGGATCTTTGTTGATTGCTGGATGATCCATTAGTGCACGCGTTTTGCTCAGTATGATTTGTTATGCGACATGATATTGGTATGGTTTGATATGTGATATGGTATGAGGGAAGGATGTGGGAAAATAAAATAACTACTAATTAATGCGTAATTAAATTAGGGCCCAATTATCTTCCATTTTTTTCATCTGCTATGTACCAGAACAAAGTATTTCTGTAGAATGTTGGCGAGCGTAGAAATTGATTGTTCTTATAAAACAAAGGAGTGACGTGTTTGCACACAATGCCCCGAACTTTATTTAATACGTACTACACTCTTAGCAAAATTATAAGGAATCATTACTGCGCGGAGCGCATATATGACTCTACGGTTGATGGTAATAATTAGATTACCGCACAGAATTGAATTGTTATAGCTGAGAATAGAATCTTTATAACGGCAGTAATGAATCAATATATTTTTATATTGATTCATTACTGCATTTCATTCATTACTGTGAAAATCTTAAGTCCATTTCGAAATCAATGCTCCGATTTATTCAATATTATAAATGATTATAACTATGAGTCATAGTCTACGAATTATTTATTAACAGTTTTAATGATTATGGGATTGGTTAAATTTTCCAAACTTTTATGTCGGTACTCCGGTTAGTTTACACTACCCCGTGCTTGTCAAAATATTGGCTCATCCAGTTGTGGTCACATTCATAAAACGTGTTCATAATTTTGTCGCCTATTAGCTCACCCTGAGTAGCGGAGGAGCCATTGAATATCCGTCTGTCTGTCCGTCCGTAGGTCTGTGTGTTAACGACTCTTTTGCATCAATTGATGCTAATTGCTGCGAATTATTGGCATTCTTGACCGACTTATTAGCAAATTAGCTTACGTACACATTGTGGATTTTTACTCATTCAGTTTCCACCATTGCACAGTGGGCCAGGTATCATAGATTTTTGGCCAAAAATACAATTAAGCCTGAATGTCTCAGGTAGCCCCATAAATGGGGTTCCATTGGAAAGGTCTCGGCGGGAGGATTGAGAATATATTACTTTGTGGGGTCTGGGACCACCCCCTGAGTATTTAGAGACCGAAGAATATTATGGAGTTGACGTCGATCTACTGCTGTGTTAACTCTCAATCTCCTCCTGTGTTAACGTCTGCATACCAGAAAAACTAAAACACAATAATATTCATCGGTCTCTAAATACTTAGGGGGTGGTCCCAGATGCCACAAAGTATATATATTCTGAATCCTCCCGTGTTGGCGTTGAGGCTAGAGGGGAGGTTGAAATTGTGGCAAGAGAAAGTAATTTCACCATTCATGTCAACATTATTGGTAGAATTATGATTTGGTCAATTTGATTAGTCCCAGGTACGTCGTCACCAATACCTTTCGTAGATGATGATCTATTTAGCGGAATGTTCGGTACATGGATTGCATCGCCGGTTGAAGATGAAGAACCAGATATACGACTAGAAGAACCAAGCGGTGAAGACCAAAGAGCACGAGAATGTATGCACGATGACGAGCTATGTAGTCAAACGTTTGCTACCTGGATTGAATCGCCAGTTGCTGGCAGTGGGCCCGATGTAATAGAGTCACAGGTTGCAAATCAGAAGCCAATAGGCCAAGACATGCACTTCAAACATCAGGAAACCGACTTAGAAGATCAAAATAAAGTATTTGAGGTTTGCAGTGTTCCGTAAATAAAGAAACATTGAAGCTTAAACTAAAAAGTAATTCACTACGAAACTAGGATATCGCCTCTAATAACAAATTAACGGAAGAAGGAGGTGCCAGTGTGGATAGTCTAAATGAAATGAATAGGATGGACTATAATGAAGAATATAACAAAGCAGAACTTGAGGGTCTAAAGAGAAATTTAAGATCGAAAAGCGAGATTGCCTCAAGGTTGATAATGAAATGAAGCACTGAGTGTAAGTCAAGTTATCCTAAATGTGGAACCATAGCTCTGCTTAACGTCAGAGGTTCGTGTTTCTTGTGTCTACAGATTATTCATGTAGCCATACATCCGGGGTTGGGACAAGGCGCTTGGTGTCCGCCGAAATTTCTAGTCCAAGTAATTGTTGTTGTATAACCCGTATTGCCTTAATTTACTATTGTTATTCATTGTTCATTTACTTACAGAGAAGTTCCCATCAGATTCACAGGAAGACGATCCAACGAAAAATCAGGAGTCCAGTTTAAGTGGTGCAATGACTGGTGAAGCTAATCCCAAACTATGCTTTGACATTGAAGAAGCTAAGCGAGATAAGGTGTGCCATAATAAATTAATACATAAACTTAAACAAACAAATATTTCAATGCGAACCTAGGATATGGCTTTGAACAACAACGAACACGTGGAACAAGTCGATAATTATGATGATAAGCAGAATTCCATTCGAATAACTAGGTCAAAAACTAAAGCAATGAAAAAAATCTGACCAAGATTGGCAGCTATTGCAAGATAGGCAGATTTATGCTGGAATGATAATTCTAAGATTTATTGATGTTGTACGAATGTTTATTTAATTTCTAAATATAATAGACATATTTTAATAAAAAAAAACCGTTAATTTTTTTAAGCGCGCCCATTATTTATATAATTCATCTCTTCATCTGCACTTGAAATATCTTTGTTAAATCACGGAGAATCGTTATTCAATGAAGGATGAATTAATTGAGTAGGTAAAGTACTTTAATTTGTTCTTCGGAATGACACGGGTGAAATGAAAGTGGCAGAAGTTACGATTAAATTAATACGTAGTAACCAAGTAGTCTATTAATTCGAATATCTTTGTTAAATCACGGAGAATCGTTATTCAATGAAGGATGAATTAACGGAGTAGGTAAAGTACTTTAACTTGTCCTTCAGAATGATACGGGTGAAATGAAAGTGGCAGAAGTTACGATTAAATTAATACGTAGTAACCAAGTAGTCTATTAATTCGAATATCTTTGTTAAATCACGGAGAATCGTTATTCAATGAAGGATGAATTAACGGAGTAGGTAAAGTACTTTAACTTGTCCTTCAGAATGATACGGGTGAAATGAAAGTGGCAGAAGTTACGATTAAATTAATACGTAGGAACCAAATAGTCTGTTAATTCGAATATATTCGTTAAATCACGGAGAATCGTTATTCAATGAAGGACGAATTTATGAAGTAGGTAAAGTACTTTAATTTGTTCTTCGGAATGACACGGGTGAAATGAAAGTGGCAGAAGTTACGATTAAATTAATACGTAGTAACCATTTGTAATAGCATGTTTCAAACATTATTGTGATGCAATGTTTCTAATGGTTACCAATTGAAAAAAAAATTTTGGAAGTCATGAGAAAAATAAATAACAAACATTCTGAGTTGCAAGTTATTTTTTGCATTATTGTATCCATTATTGTTTCCATATTTTGGCATTCTTTTTTTGGAAATTAATATGGCAAAGCCGAAACATATTTATGCAGCGTTAGAGGGACTCACCGATCATGAGTTCAGTCAATACATCTCAGAGATTGAATTTGGGGACGAGGTTTTCCTATACAAGCCGGGGGAGGTATTCCTATCCATTTGGTCCCGTGGGACGAAGACTATTGTAAACGCGACAAAGATTGACCCCCCAAAGAAAGCCAAGATAATTTTAATACCAGTCTCGTACGACCACTCGTTTAGCATGAAAAACTTGAGGAATTGCGAAGATCACTTCGCACTATTGATGATAAGTCTCAAGGACTGGACGGCACTATACGTGGATGGAAAAATGCTAGTCAATCAACCATTTTACAAAGATCCGAGATATCGTCGTGTAAGGACAAACTTGTTACCAAAACTGAGGAAGATTTTCAACCGGCATATTCCTATGAAAACTTTCAGATTTAAGAATCAAATGAGGTAAATAAAAATAAAAATATATTTCTACCACATGTGCAGCGAATTATTATTATTAAATATCTCTGAACAATAAATGTACATGAATATTTCCTGTAGTAAATTAATATACATTATAATTACAGAGTGCCCAATGGATGCGCTGTTCCAATAATTTCAGCAATTGATAGTATTGCTTCAGGTATGAAAGTGCATACCCCGACACAGAAGGAAGAATTTCAGATTCTTCAAAAAATTGGAAGATATTTTGAGGGGAAGAAGAAAAAGGTCGCATACACCTGGCAAGAGTGGAAGGATATCCAGGTAAGAATTTTGTTGCCTGTTTTATACATGTATATTCGATTATTTTTATTTTGAAATTTTGATGGTCAACCAAAAGCAGAGAAGCCGGTCGAAATCGTCTCTGAGCAGTCTCGCACGGAAGAACTGACTCGTCGAAGGGCCACGGGAGACGAAATCACGGTCTCAGGTTTGTCCAAGCTTGCTTCAAAGAAGTGGAGAGAACTGTCGAGCGAGCAGAAGGCCATGGCTGAAAGGGAGAAAGAACAATACGGGGATGGGGACGATGACCGAAAATCGCGACGATCCGTGAAGAACAAGAAGGATGATAAGGGAGAAAAGGAAAATGTAAGGAAAGCACCTAATATTTTTTCTTCGAGGGTTAACAAGATAATGTACTAAAATTGTCATTTAACTCTACTTTCAGGATGGTGAAACCAAGAAACCAAAGAAAGTCAAGGATCCAAACGCCCCAGAAAGCAATATGACAAGTTTCTTCGTCTTCAGCAACGAACAGCGTCCCATTCTTAATGAAAGTCCTGAATTTAAAGCCAGCAAAGGAGCTGGGTCGCCGTTGGAAGGAGTTGGACGCATCTGAGAAGAAACGATACGAAACTATCGCTGAAGAAGACAAGAAGCGCTATCAAAAAGAATTGGCAGCATATGAAAAGTCTCAACGTATGGAAACTGCCTAAAATATTCAATGCTCGTAAAAAAACTATTGTACCTGGATTTTTAAAGTTGTGAAACGCGGATTAATGTAATGTAGTAATGTTCTGTGATTTATCCACGTATTTTAACCCATGTCGGTCCAATAATTCTATAACTAATCTGTGAAATGTTGTCATTCATGTATTGTACGTGTTTCTATAATATAATGTTAACCAATTTTAACAAACTTGTCATGTTTATATGATTCTCTTGTCGATGTTGACAAGAAGTGAAATAAATCGGATGTTTTAGTAAAGTTTTTGTTTGTATTTAATTTTTATGTACATTGAAACCAATGATGCCATCTTAAAAGGCCCCGCAAAGTTGCTTGAAGTAGGTTTTTTATTCTTTCGATTTTGTAGCAATTACAAATTATGTCTTTCTTACCCATTTTAACAACTGTTAGATAGGCAAGTAAATAATGTATAAATTGGGTGCTGGACAAAAAACGTACATGTCAACTTCAGACGTGTAATAACGTCACATCCGTCATTTATTTACGATCCTGAATTTATTACACTTCCTCCCAAACAAATAAGCAATTACATGCCTGCGTATTTCCATATTGCATGGAATTAATGGAATATTACTTTTAAACAAAGAATTATTACGTGTGCGGCGTAGCGAAATTGAGCAATTAAATTATGCATTGTTGCATACTTCCTCCTTCTGATTTGGTTTCTCGAGGCGGACGTAATTTAATCATTCCCAGTTTCATTCTTGGCTAAAAACTTGCTTCGATAATCGACATTGCTCTAGATCACGGGACGCATTGATAGCAGAAATTCCTCAGTAAACCAAGGTTGGTAAGTAAATATTCCTTCCGTTCCGTGCACTAATTGGTGCAATATATTGTCCAATCGACTGCCTGCATTCGATCTTTCCCAATTCTGCCCGTTGTCTCGTAAATCCGTGACCATAAGGACTTTTTGAACTATGACCCTTCCTCCTGGTTTAATAATCTAAACCAGGGCTTAAGTCCGAAAGCAGTTCATTCCTTCTAGCTTCTTCTAGTTGACATAAAACTTATTAAAGTAATGTTAAATTTATTTTATATTAAGTAAATCTTAAAAAAATCTATGAATGTGATCCATTGTTAATAAATTTCTTGTATATAATTGTAGCGGGCAATGAATTCCATCCTGGTCACCTTTGCGCTAGGGGTCGTTGCCCTATCGTTGTCCTCTGAAGGACGCCGTTTCTTTCATCAAGACTCCAAGAAATGTCTCGATGCGGAAGGATTCGTTAAGGACTCGCTTAAAGTGTCGCCATGCAATGACAAAAACCAGTACCAACAATGGGATTGGGTGAATAACTCCACCATTAAGAACAGAGCGACAAAATTATGCATCGCATCGATATCCTATTACGGAACGAGCACTGTAAACATGGTGACTTGTCGGCGCGATGACGAAACCCAGAGATGGAAAGAAGAACCAAACGGCAAGGTTTACAATAAGCTGACCTGGTTTTGTCTACGTTCGGATGCAAAGGACATCGTCATCCCGCAGGGTTGCTCGTGGTCTTCAGAACAAACCAATTTGAGGTGGAGCGAGTAGAATGAGTGACATGCTTGGAAGAATAAATAACTATAATAATAACTTTAATAATAACTTTGGAGCTTTAATAAATTTCATAATGCAAAAATTAACAATTTTTTAGACCCACCCATATATGTTTGCATTAAACGTAAACAAACGTGTGACCTGGTTCATATTAAATTTAGGTTGGTTTCGTTTTCAGAAAAAAATGAAGTCATGATTTATCTTGAAGGATGGTTTGACTGAGTGAATTGAAAGTATCGTCAAGATTTTGCAAAGAAATTTTAAATGTGATGGAGAACGATGAAAATCGGATACTTTTGATATTCAACTCAATTGATTTCTTGGCGAACTGCTGGAGACAATTGTGAAAGTGGTATAATCCTGAGAATTAGGGATATCGTCGAAATTATACATTACCAAGTGTGAACTATACGTATGGATTGATGTTATCAAAAGTGTTAAAAGTATTACGAACATTATATTTCTTGAAATATTTGCTGGTTAAATTTTCCAGTCTGGCTGAATCGTATCTATATAGACGAAAAGTAAGTATGTGAATCGATCTGAATTGCACTGCAAAATAAATGTTAATTTCCACACGAGCAGGATTTATCGATTTTGATAAATCCATTTCCTACATGAAATATTTTCTGAGAGTTATAAACATTTTAATCGAAATGTATAATAAGTAATGCATATATAATAAACAGACATTAAGCATGCACAATTAAACTGGGATGAACATTGATTTTGCGGTGACTTATTAGAATCTGTATATATGTATAGACAGGTGCATAACTTTTGTAAACCAATTACGTACGTATCACATGATAAATATTTATATGAATCTGGTTGTAAGATTTCCTGGGAGTGATAATATATTCCCAGAACCATGGGGATCCGATGGATTTATTCCAAAGGATTATAATTTAGCATTAGGCTAGTAGGGAATCAAAATAGATTCCGGGAATATTGGGAATCCGACAAACATCCAAAATTCCCTTCGAGTGGAAATTAGTACAATCAAATATTGGGCGAATTATATTTTCTACCATGAGACAGAATCACTTTACCAAGTTCTTTCTCAGTATATAATATAAAACATACCCAAAAACCTTCGCTAACCACAGATAAAGTACATATTTATGCAATGTGATGATAAAAACAACGTCATTTTATGGCTGTCAGATTCACAGAATTTTTACCCCCCCCCCCTGGTGACCTGTCTGCCCATGTTATAATTAACATGGGAAGGATAGGATGCCTTCACCCCCCCTCCCCCCAAATCGATCACGTGATTTATGGATAGCCCCTTACCTGAATCTTGTATAACAATAAGTATCAGGTGTTGAGTAAATCCTTTTGGATTAACTAAATTAAATGAATTGACCTTTATTTGCGTCATTCTACGTTTTCCCAATGGTCGTCTAGCCCTACGAGTTTCACTTCATGAAATTGGATAAGTAAGCTCTTAACTCTGATTACGTTTTGCAATTTCACTGAAAATTAGCACTACTTTGTTTAAGGAGGTGAAGGTGCCAGCGGTATATAAAAGGTTGCTAAACGTATACAAAACCAGCAGAGCTATGTATAAGCTCTTCTCTTAAAAAAACGTATACTTGCAGAGATCAACTTTCGAAAATGGTTGGGATGAAGCCACGATTTCTAAACTTTTTAATTCTGATTGTCCCATTCGTTGAGGTCATCAATAGTTTAGTCGAACGTGCCGATATGTTTCGATTCGGACGCGTCAATAACGATACGGAATACATGGGTCATCATGTCTACCGAGCGGTACCGCTGACGCAAGGGTTCAAATATTTCAATACTGTTTACAACACCTTGTACATTCATGATCAAGGAATCATCTCATTTAAAGATGGTACTTCAAAACTTAATCCGCAAAAGTTAGACTTATATTTTACCCATCAATTTTTTAAATTTATCCATCTATTCCAGAACCGTTAAGTATGACTCCGAGATGCGAACAATCCTCTGATCCTGCCATCTACCCGTTTTGGGCTCATAATTTAGCTACCATAGAAGGACAAATTTTCTACCGACAGACCAATAATTCCATCGAGACTGCCAAAGCATCTGACGAAGTTAATATTGCCTTTCCGCGATTAGGGCCGTTGAGGATGCAATGGGTCTTAATCGTTACCTGGGAGGATACCACGCCACACGGAAATATGGCGGAATGTGTCATGGCAAACAACACTTTTCAAGCGATTTTAACCACAGATGGGGTTTACTCCTTTGTAATCGTCTACTATAATCAGATACAGTACACCACGGACCATTTTCTTGGACCAGACTGTAGCACCGATAATGTCCGAGGTCATGCCAGGGTAGGAATCAATTTCGGAATTTTAAATCAATACCTTAACGTGCAGGGGTCTTGTACTCGAAGTATCGCAAATATTGGGCACTCCACGAATGTCTGTTGGCCTGGAAAGTATGTCTTCAAGGTGGAAAAGTTTGTCCCCTTCTTTGAAATTCTACCTCTTTCGAGTTAAATTATTAGCAATGGGAATATTTCACGTAGTGATTTTCCAGCGAATCAATAAACGTTTTGAAACTTGGTAATATTGTTCAATCACAATTTTATCTTGCAAATAAAAATTTTATTAAGCTACAAAAATTGTTGATAGAGAAATGCATATAACAATTATTCTTTTATCCATCTGATACATCAACTTCTGGCAAACTCATCAACAAATTGATCGTATTGTCCAGAATACTGTGCAGAAAGTAGGTCCTGATTGAGTTATCTATCGCAAAGAAGTAGTGCCCATTCATCCCGGCGATGTACTGAATTGGACGCATGGCGCTAAAGTATCGTCGCAAGTATTTATTCTCATCAAAGATAAACAACAAAATAGGTAGATTTGCGAAGTCATGTTTTTCGAAGCCCCTCACGACAGAAATATTTTGATCTTCGCAAGCTTGCTAAATGAGTTTCGATGCGAAATAAGACGTTGTCATGAGTACGCCCAGTGATATCTCTACTGCCGCAAAACCTTCCGTCCGAAAATAAATACGTATCTAAATATTTATTGTCCTCGCAAAGTCACGAGTCATGTCAAGATGTGTGTAATGTGCAATGCATAGGATTTCGTGCCTCAATGTGTGCATTTAATGTCAAATAATTAGTTCGCACTCTACTATGATACTAAACATTCTCGTGAATTATAAGGACAATTATGAGAACAAGAAGTACTCTTGTTTTATACGGCTATAAATCCCTCAACGTCATTACTCGCGTACTAACAAGGGAAGGACACGACATGTCTACCGGACCCAGACATGGGATATATTTTTTTCTACTCTTTGGGGTCCCCAATGATGGAAACTGATGAAATTCGTCGGTGAATTTCACGTTTCTTGGAAATATAAAATTTTGAATTTTTGAATTTCTGAAATAGTTCATGGGGTTCCCCCTTTGAAAATGCGAAATTCGCATGCTAATTCTTATGCGCTTTTCGTCAAAATCAACTTCTCGGGACTGGCCATCGAACTTAAAGTTCAATGAAATATTGTTGAAATCATCAACAAAAATCATCAAAATCACTTACTGAACATTTTTGCAACACATGCAAAGTCATGTTTCGATTTCGAAAATATATTTAAAAATTTTTTAAATCTTGTAAAACAAAATTGTAAAACAAAATTGAGGTGCATGCAAAACATGTAAAAGGTACATAAGTCCCGAGAAGTTCATTTTGACGAAAAGTACATAATAATTAGCATGTGATTTTTGCCTTTTCAAAGGGGGAGACCCCATGAACTATTTCGGAAATTCATAATTTCAAAATTTTATATTTCCAAGAAACGTGAAATTCACCGACGAATTTCATCAGTTTCCATCATTGGGGACCCCAAAGAGTAGGGAATAAATATCCCATGTCCGGGTCCGGTAGACATGTCGTGTCCTTCCCTCGTAAGAGCATTACAATGGTGACGAAGAGGGTTTTATAGCCTAAAACAGGAATACGTACTCATAGCAAAATATATACAGCCATGAAAAAAGTTTGAAAAATTGCAAAAACAAAAATTGAATGCGATAGCGGAGAATCGAACTCCGGTCAACAGCTTGGAAGGCTACTATGCTGCTACACCACTATCGCACTGGTTGGTATATTATCCCGTTTTTCTCCCTGTTATTCCGTACAAGAAAACTTCAACGTGTGATAAAGTCGGTCACACTTGTATGTCTTTTTTTCTCGTAAACCTGTTTAAGATATATTAGCATATGTATTTATTTAAATTCCTCAAAATATGTATGTAATATGTACTTAATAAAATCGAAGATATGTACATAAATTTTTTTTTTCAATTACAAATTCCTACTATATTTATATTTTATCTTCGTGAAGATTTAAATTTTTAGCACTCTTGTAAGAGAATTATAGCAGCAATAAATTTTGGTCTGCATTTAATGACTGATACTGTGACACTAGCTAGATTTTGAGTAATTTTTTGGCTTAGGAAACTTATGAAATGATGCAAACTGGATTTGCCACTCGTTATCGTAAATTGAATAACATCATTGTGCGAATATAATTTTTAGAAGACCTTAAATTATGAATGTAGAAAAATATTTTTATATAACAAAACCCGGAAATATGTATTAAAATATAAAAAAAAACATCGAAATATGTTTGAAAATATTTATTTTTATGAAAACCCTCAAAATATGTGTGAAAATATGTATATGTACGAAAAACACGAAATATGTAAAATATGCAAAACTATGTTTGAATTTTTGAAATCCTGGTTATGTGGAACGTTACTGTACGAAGTTTTTGTACCATCTGGCTTGGTATGAAAAAGTTAGTGATACATACGGATCCGCCGTCTGTATACTAGTTATACACTGCATGTTTGCAATTTTTAGCTAAATAGTGTAATTCATGGGTCCCCATCAATTTTGAAGACAAGGGTTTGAATGAAAATGGCACGACGACAATAATTTTATATTATGAATGAATAAGCTTCTATGAATAATCTTACGTAAGATATAATATTATTTAACTCTATATGAATAACTAAAATCATCGTGATCGTATTGTCTAAAAGTGGTTTCTGATTTTTAGCTTGATGAAATGCTTAATGTTCGTTTTATTCATTCGGTTGACAACTGACGAACATTACCATGTTTGAATTCAGAAACCAGGTACTCCGGGAAAGAACGGAAGCAGGGGGCGCACCAAATTGCTACAAAACATTGTAATTTATAAATTTATATTAATTATTTTGATTATGCTTGGCAAGTCCACTCTAAATATCGTCGTTCTAATTCTAAAAAGTCCTAAGTGCAGTCGATGCTTAATTTTAAAAAGTCCTAAGTGCACAATAAAAATTCTAAAAAGTCCTAAGTGCAAACATGTATTTACTTATGGCTATATCTTGCCAAAACAATTCTTCCTACATCGCGCGATTTAGCCATAACTAAATACATGCTTGCACTTTTTAGAATTAAGCATCGACTGCACTTAGGACTTTTTAGAATTAGAACGACGATATAGGTAATTCAGTAGGGGGTTTCGTTTGATATTTAGGGGGGGGGGGTAAAAGATGAATTGCGTGGTGCCAAAAATAATTGGGGGTTCATTTGCACAATTTTGGAGGCAAACTTTTACTTTTTAGAAGCCCATCGACAATAAACCGTTGTAACGTTAGAAGTAGCTCACCCTGTAATAATGATTTTAGCATAATTTTGCAGAATTGGCAGATAAAATAGATACGCAATTTTCGCATAATTTTGCATTAATGGTGCAGAATAGGCGGACAAAAGATATACATAATTGTGATATAATTTTTCACCAATGGTGGAAAATAAACGAGAAAAATCAATCCAGAATTTTGACATAAAATCGTGACAAATTCAACGTAAAAATTCTAGTTATTACCGACTGTTCGAGACCAATGGTGCTACTAATTTGCTAAAACTTGCACATGGGGCAAATTAATTAGCATCAATTGATGCAAAAACCTCGTGAACAGACAGACAGACGGACAGACAGACAGACAGACAGACAGACGGACGGACAAGAGGAGTTCAATAGCTCCCGTGCTACGCATGGTGAGCTAATAAGGATATGCAGCAAAATTCAGGGTTTGGGTTGCAAAAGTTGTCGGAGGGATAACTTATTTTCAACCTTACATTTATTATGGACCTCCCACTCCCCTTAGAATAAAATCCTAACCAGTTAAATCCAGAAACTACCTTTAATTTTGATGCAATATTGACTGGTTTGTGAAACTTGATAAATTTCAGTTCTACATCATATATTTACATGGGATTAGTGAATTTATTTAATTTACGCATTTACCAGAATGGGTACCGGGTCCGGGTTACCAGACTGATTATACTTCGTGTATTTAAGTTATAAACGGTTATGAAATATATGGGTATTAGATCAATTGTTTTGCTACGAACTACTCCTGATCTTATGTAACAGCCCGGGTTGAATTCTGCACTAATAGACAAAAACCCTAGGCAAACATATTATGCATTGATTGTTTTACATCATCTAAAAGAAAATTTGTGTCGTTATTTTTAACCGTATGAGCATAATTCTGCACATGTTTCTTCAGAAAAGTCAAAGCAGAATATTGGGCCAATTTTCTGTAGGAAACCTGTTGAAATTTTTACTCGCGAGGAGATTATTGACGTAATACGATAGTAAACATGTCAACCTATGTATGTATTGCATTGCGCGTCATCCTGATGTCAAAAATATATATTTGTCCAGGGGTAGAATTAGAAATGCAGCTTCGACATGCATTTGTTCTCGAGGACAATTTTCGCCCAATGAAGCAAAAATTTATCCAAGAATCTGTCCAGCCCACGTATCGTAAATCAGCATGATTTTTCCTGTTTCGGCCAAAGAATATCTCGTCTTACTTAATCTGGAGCAAAGTACCTGTAAAAGGGTACCTGACGGTTCATAGCATGAAACTCGTAGCAGGTGTAATTCATAGAAAAGAATTTGTAATAATTTGTAGCATGCTACAACTCGTAGCAAATTTTTTTCGTAGTATTATATTTGATAGCTTAATACGATGCATAGCAATACAATTCATAGTATTTTTTGCCAGAAGTACATAAAATTCTTGTTTGGGTTTTTCTACCAGAAGTATATAAAATTATCAGAGGGAGGATATATATGTACGCAAATTCCGCAAACATTTGCATGTAATATGGTATCAAAAATCTGAAAATATGCTCATAAAAAATGTTTTTCGAATTAAGTTCTCTACTATACTTATGAAAATATAATTTTGACAAACCCTTAATTTCTGAGTGAAGAGAAATATCTTGAATAAAAAAACTTTGAAATACATATATGTATCTAATAAAGGATTAATATTTAGAGAAATACGTGAGATCTACAGGAAATTATGTACGAAAAATCCTCAAAGTGTGTATGAAAATATGTACTAACAATGGAGGTCTCCCAACGTATGCTCTCAGATTTGGACGAAACTGGTGTCAATCGATCACAAATTTAATTCTTATGAAATTTGCAAATGCAACTATCTGCAAATGCGCAGGTTTGGTGGAGATATTTGCATAAAAAGAGGTGAAAACTCGCAAATTTGTAAGGCAAAATTCGAAAAGTGT